ATGGCTTAAAATGTTATCACTATTAAAATATATCACAAATCCATATATATATATATATATATCATATTCATACAAACACTTTATTATATTATACTTTAATATAGGTACTATAATATAACCATCACTCGGAATTTCTAAAATCGTATAAGATCATCAACTTAACGTTTAGAAAGTTAGTATATACAAAATCTAATGCTTAGCTATTATTTCAACAATTTAAATGTATCCTAAAATAATTGAAAATATTATCTGCATTAATCTTTTAACATGGTAAATGAGTAGATAATATTTTACCAATCCATGGCTTAAAATGTTACCACTACTAAAATATCCTACACCTCCCCTCCTCCCATCTATCACATGGATATCTATCCCACCTAACATCACGTATGTAACCGACCAGATCCACCCCCTCCCATCTATCATAAGTAAATCCGATGAATCTGACTACCTCGTCCAACCTATAGTTCTATGCTATCTCATACGTGCTCGACTATGCTCGACAATGCCTGGCAATACCCGTCAATACCCTACACCTCCCATACATATCCCTATGATCCTACACAATAAGTGATATATATATATTATATATTAACCTCATCACACACCTACTATGATGTCTAGTCCCCCTAATCATCCTATCCTATCCACACACCTGCCATCAAGTACGTACACAACCATATACATCATACCATATCATACCCTTCCACATCCATCAATACCTAATGCGTGTCACACTATTCCCCCTACCTACCATCAATACCTAGTACATACCACACCATACCCTCACATCAATGTATATCACTAAAATATATAGTCATCATATAATATACCTCCATCACCTACACCTTGAAAATTATACTTAAATAATAAATCGAATATTCTAGTATAGGTACCATACCTCCAAGCATGCATACATTGAAAGTTACATAAATAATAAATAATATTATATTAATCAATTATAATAAATAAAATGCTAATACACCTCTATTACCCTCACCTTTAAAATTATACTTAAATCTACTATACCAGTATACCGTATTTCTAAGCATACATCAGAAGTATGAAAATCTCACGAAACCAGACTACTCCGTCAAGACTGTTCCTACTCCCTAGTCTATGAGAGTCAATACCGTGCGTGACCATACACATCATCATCTCATACCATACCCTTCCCCTACCATCGATACCTAGTGCATACCAACCCCATACTCCTCCCTCCCATCAATGTCTAACATATACCACACCATAACCCTCCATATAGGTTAGGTTATAAAGTACTAGTTCTTAATCAGCCTAGTCCATCCACACACCTACTATCACGTACGTGCGAGACCATATACATCATACTACACCATACTTCACTACAATCAATGTTTAGTATATACCACTGAATTAGTAAATTAAATAATATAATACTATTTAAAACGTACAATTGATATATTAGGAAAGCATTTCTATATATTATATAATATTTATTTAAACACTATATTATACTATACCTACTGTATTATCAATACCTAGTACATATCACACCTTACCCCCACCTACCATCAATGTCTATCACAAAAATGTATAATTATATAATTCTCAACATAATGACAGGTAACTTTATAGTTATCTAAGACATTATTATATGAGGTATGTTTGTTTAACATTTCACATACATATATGATATATATATATATTATCTTATTTTAGTTTTAAAATATAGAATAATAACAATATTATAAACATGATAAATGATTAACTAATAGTCTGTTTAGCAAGAATATTCTTGTTTCTTAATTTAACGAACCGTTAAATTATATATCAATACATTGATATTATATAATATGTAAACCATATAAATAAGTAATTATTAACGATACCTCATCATCTTTAATCGTTGTGAAATACGAAAGTCTATGTGTATAACTTATATTTAATAAATATTAACACTATAACGATTTTTTAACAAAAAAATGTTATACCTCCAGAGAGAATCGAACTCCCAACCCCTAGTTTACAGGACCAGTGCTCTAACCACTGAACTATGGAGGTCATATTATATCTATAACTGAGTGAATTATTATCTCCATTACTCACACCTTAAGAATTATACTTCAAACTACTATACTGATATATCATACTTCGATTATCTTCTTCCGATAGTAATATTTAACTAAGTGTAAAATTCTATCTAATTATCAGACATATATATTATTACGCTTTAATATATTATATACAAACACCAACAACTATATACGATATTACTAAATTTGAAAGTGTTTCACTTTTAATTATAACCTTTAATATCTGTAGGAAAATTAACAACCACTGATAATATTATAAACGATCAAATCTAATTTAAATGATATTTCGATATATCGTCTTTCAATGTAATGATTATACACAAAGTGTATGATATTATTATATCAATGTAAATAATAAAAATTTTAAAAATGTCTATTGTTATATAGTAGTATTATTATTTTTTTTAAATTATATATATTACATACAGTAGTAAAATCCTAAATTGATATACTTTATAAATATGAAAATAATAAATACCTATACGTTCTATCCCGCTTTAGGCTTTTCTATGTATGAAATCAGTCTACAATATAACATATTATGCCTAACCCTTAGAGATTATTATATGTTCAAAAAAATCTGAAAATCATTGAAATGCTAACTCTCTAAGTTTTATACTATGTTATATTATGTTAGAGGGTAAAACAAATTATTTTAAAACATGAAACATATGAATAATATCCATATTAAATTAATAACACCGTACGATAATTATCTATAATTAGCTACTCACTATTATAATATTTTCAATTAGAAGTCATAGAAAATACTAAATATTACACTTCAAACTTAGTAAGAATATTCATACTAAAGTAATAATATACAATGTTATTTTTTTATTTGATAAAATAATATTAACTTAACAATATTAGACCTCTATTTCCGATATATCGTATAAATACTGAGGAGGGATATTTCAAATAAAATATTTTTTACTTTACACACGAGATATAATATATTATACATTTAATTAAAACAATTTAATCGTTACAGGGACTAAGACAAAGTAGATTAAAATAAATTATTTATATACTCAAATTTAAACTGTATACTAAATTATGTTAAATACTTATGAATTAATTAACAATAGATTATATTTTAAAACAATTATTTATTATAAACTTATATGTCACATAGTTGATTAATGGGTATATTTCTAAAAATTTTTTATATTCGAATGGATGGCGTGGGTGGGTGAATGAGCATTTATAACATATATAACCCCACCGCTTATTTGAGTATACAAGTCCTTCGGTTAACGCGAGTAATCTCCGAGTATCGCGAATAAAATGATAATCTACTAATATCGAAGAGGTAGGATCCAATTTTAAATTTATTTCTTTATTAATCTATGTAGCACATAATATAGTAATTATAGTTTAAATATAGGTATATATTTACACTTCAGTGTAACCGTGTAGTCATGTCGGAAAATTGAATGATTGAAATAAACGATGGATCCTGTAGTATGGTGTGGTATGTACTAGGTATTTATAAGATAGTATAGTATAATAGGTATAGTGTTTATATGAATATGATATATATATATATATATAGTTATTTTTTTCCTAATATAATATCAATTACATGCTTTAGATAGTAGTGTATTATTTAATTTACTAATTCAGTGGTATATACTAGACATTGATTGTAGTGAAGTATGGTGTAGTATGATGTATATTGTCACACACGTACGCGATAGTAGGTGCGCGGATGGACTAGGCTGATTAGGGGGCTAGTACTTTATAACCTAACCTATGGAGGGTTATGATGTGATATGTGTAATAGGTATGACATGATGTGTATGGTTGCGCACGGTATTAACTCTCATAGACTAGAGAGTAGGGAGTAGTGTGTGTGTGTATTTGAACTCTAAAACAATGTGAAACGTTAACCAACAGTCAAGCACGTATGTGATAGTATAGAACTATAGGCTGGGCGAGGTAGTCAGAATCATCGGATTTACTTGTGATAGATGGGAGGGGTGGATCTGGTCGGTTACGTGGGCGATGTTAGGTGGGATAGATATCCATGTGATAGATGGGATGAGGAGGAGGGGAGGTATAGGTATCTATGTGATAGATATGGATGTGATGTTAAAATTTTGTACGAAGCTTTAAATTATAAGTATAATATATATGTATATATTCGTACTCAACGTTGACTACCTACTGTTAATATTATAACACAGTTCTGAATATTCCTAAACATGTGTAATATACATAATGAAAATACAATGTATATTTTCACGTTCGATAAAATTGTACAATAATTTCAATTATCATTAACACGATGTCAATATCACCTTAGGCCTTAGGTGATGATATCGAGGTCGATGGGGGGCAGCGGAGACAGTGTTATTGTTATTTTTAATCTAATGAGGGAAAGTAGCATATTATTGTGTATCAACGCGATTGATAATGTTATAGCTAAAATGTGTAAAAACATGACATATGCTATTAACACTATGAGTGGATCGGGTAACGATGATGTTGTCATCGCATAACTAATGAGGGAGAGTGGTTATGCCTAATGATGTTAAGTAATATTTATCATACTCATATTATACATGTGTGAGGGATAATTGAGGAAGGGTATCTCCAATTGCTTAAATACTCGTTGTATCAGCACATTCAATATCAGTTGTTCTCCGTTTACCGATCTATACTTTACTCAAGTTAACATCAGGACGACGACGACAACGACGACGACGGGAAGTAACAAGTAGAGGAACATCGACGAAGGAGTCCGTGACGATTTTCAAAGAAGTTAAAGAATTTTAAGTAAGTAATATTTTTTTTTTTTTTTTTCATATTCAATCCTGAACATAATATATCATATCGTAGACATGTAATGAATACATATGAGTATAATAATATGAAAGACGTGTATTAAATGTGTAATTAATTTCCAGGACATCTATCATGGAGGGACTAAGAAAACAACTGGTCGCACAATCGAGCGCCCGTTTTATGTCGGTAGGTGATTTAGCCGTGGGTCGGCCGTATCCCATAACTAAGATGACTAATCAAGAGACGCAGTATGGTAGGACAGTGAAGTGCACCATCGACGACGGTGAGGATGGGGTAATAGAAGTTTTCCTTCCGAGAACAATAGCCGTGAGCGATGAACAGGAGGCACTTTACAATGCAGATGGAAACCAGACGCTAAGTCTGGTTTTCAACGGGCGACGGGGGAGGTCGTTTAACATTACTTTCAAGTGATGAAAATACATCAAATGTGTACCTAATGTTTACTTTATATTATATTATATTATTATTATTATTATTTTTTTTTTAATCATCATAATAAACATCCAGTCAATATTTTAATCTGAAATGTTTTATAATTATTTGTTATTTATTATTGGAATGAGTGTATTATATATATATATATATATATATATGTCGGTAATCCGGATATGTGGGTAAAGACATGTACATGTGTGATATACATTATGAATTAATGTAATCGTCAGAGTATAGAGCAGTGTTTCCCCCAAAAGGGTATGCCATGGTAAACTTAATACAAAAATTAACTTAATACACAGAACAGTTCTGTAATATATAAATCGAGAGATAATAATATTATTACCTATTAACGGTAATTTGATACCCTACATCATTACGTATTATTCGATATAATATTTATCCAAATAGTGTACCGCGACTTATAATAACTAATATCACGAGCGCATATATAGTTCACTCTCGTGATGTCTCAGCGAATGTGTACTGCCGGTATAATAATAATAATAATGTACCGCGATGGGAAGAAAGTTTGGGAACCGCTGGAGTAGAGTGATGTGTGAGCGTCCGGTTATCTCAACCCGCGGCATGTCAAGCCGAGTTACAACCACTGTGTCATTCCACTTATAATTCCAATCACTATCGCAAGGAGATGAAACCAATCCTCGAGGTTTCTCTCAGGCACTGCTGTATTTCCAGCGTTTAGCATTTCTGCGGTTGTGATTGGAATTATAAGTGAAATGGCACAGTGGTTGTACGATCAATTCCGTGTTATCACTTATCACAAGGAGTTGAAACATTAGATTTTGTATATACTAACTTTCTAAACGTTAAGTTGATGATCTTATACGATTTTAGAAATTCTGAGTGATGGTTATATTATATAGTACCTATATTAAAGTATAATATAATAAAGTGTTTGTATGAATATGATATATATATATATATATATATATATACATGGATTTGTGATATATTTTAGTAGGTAAATTAAATAATAACATTTCTATACATTTTAGCTATAACATTAACAATTACATTAATTGTATATGATCGCGTGCGTTGCTTCCCCTCATTAGATTAAGTATAACAAATAGCATTGTCACCGTCGTTGTAATCGTTTCCATCGAATGTATAAAAATGTATGTTCTGTAGCCTAACCCTTAAGGTACGGTTTCCCTGCAGCGTCTGGACGCGGCGTCTAGCGTCACTACCGGTCTGGACGTAGGTCGCGTTTAGACGCCGCGCCTGACCCAGCCATGCTGTTCTCGCGTCTGACGCTGCAGGGAAACCGTACCTTTAGTCATCCTACTCAATCCGCGTGCCTATTATCACGTACATACACGACCATGCTCAGCCGTACCCTTCCCCTCCGATCAACGTCTAGTACATGCTACAGCATCCCCCCACCCCTATAATCAATACCTAATTAGACTTGAAGAACGATTAACTAATGACAAATTTAACAACCTGTGTATCTTATTTATACACGAGACTGATACCCCCTCCCTCCTTCCCAATCGTAAAATCTATATGTAAATGCGGACAATAGTGTTTTTCACTAAAATAGATATTTTTAGTACAGGACTCTTCAGCCGTGTAAACGGTCTGATCTATAAGTTTACGCTGGTTATTTTAAATAACATGGATTTTTTTTTTTTTTTTATAATCCCATGCTAATCGAATAAAGTCTTTAAGTGCGGCGGGATTCTTTATCGTGTGAATGTGGATATCGATACATGTTAAATTATATGATGATAAGAGATTTCAGTTGAGTAGCTGCACGTAATTCTCCAACAGGTATACCTACCTGTGTTTCAAGCCCTCATCCCGCTATATCCATTCAAATATAAAAAATTTTTAGAGATATACCCGTTAATTAATTATGCGACATATAACTTTATAATAAATAATTGCCTCTCGTAATTTATTGTTAGTTAATTTATAAGTATTTAACATAATGTATTATATATATAGTTGTAAATAGCAGAAAAATTTATTTATCACCTATACTATATATCTAATATCTATATACCTACATTATAAATATCTCTCTGTAATATATCAAAATATTGTATTATCATGAATAAAGTAACAGTTTTGAGGTATAATTTGCAATGGGTTAGTGAATTATAATCAATTGTAATGATGATGATAATATAACATATTTTCCTCGAATACCCCTATTAGAACAGTTGTAGGGCTTAAGGTTAATTTATCATTGAAAGCATCGTTGGGAAATAATATTTAAGTAATATTGAAGTAAGTATTCAGCTAAATTAAGTTAGTAATGACGATATAGTTGCTCTGTTATTTATCATTAGACTATGAATATTCTGTATTAGGCCATAATAGACTATAAATAGTCATCGATAATGAGATATTAAACTCCACATTTTTTAACTGTGAAAACATATTATTTTAAAGTCGGGAATTCGATTATAAAATGGTGATTCAGTTATAGTATATTCCTCAGTATACTTCTATATATTCCACTAGTAAGACCCGCCGGGGTAGACTTTCAGTTAATATATAGATAATAGAAATGGTGACGGGACGAGAAGAAAACAGGATGAAAACCGAACAGAGTGGTGTCAAAAGATCGAGGAGGCAATCAGGGGATGAGTTGAACGCGAACATGGTAACTTCACAGAAGATATACGACTATGATGATATCAATATAATAATTTATCGACATGTGTTGAAAACAAAATTATTATACTTACGAAAAGAGTTTACTAATTATGGAGTTCAGCGTAAAAATTATATACGACCTTTAACACAATTAAAATTATCGACTGTACATATTAAAGAATTTAAACCTAATCAAAATGTTCGATTATTACATTTATATAATTCTAATATGTTAATTGAAGTACAAAGATTATTACATCTGAATGAAAGTATAGCTTTTAAATTTTGTAAAACGTTAGTAACATCATCATTATCTATGTTATGCGATATTAATTTGATTGAAAATATGATTGATGATAATTTTAAAGAAAAATATCGTATAAATGAGTTTATTAATCGATGCACACGTTGTTCATTTTATCATGATAATATTTATACTCTGACAAGTGACCGCTCTGTAAAAGATTTCAAATGGCGTTATCCATTGTTGACTATTCAAGAATGTGAACGTATAATTAATAACTGTACAATAAAAAAATATTTTTAAAAAATATATTTAAATATAGATACTTTAAATATATATATATATATTTTTATAAATTAACTTAATTGGATTTCAAGGAGTGTAGAAAAATATTTTATAATTTTAAACATTCTCGATATTTTTAATGTATTAGAATGTGAGCCTTTTTACAAATTATTATATTTTATTTTAGATTCTGAGTGAAACGATGAATGTATTGATTTTACAATGATGTGTGTTTTTTAGATTCTGAGTGAAACGATGAATGTATTGATTTTACAATGATGTGTGTTTTTTTTTTTATTTTTTTTTTTATTTTTTTTTTATTTTTTTTTTATTTTATTTTTTATTTTATTTTTTATTTTATTTTTTATTTTTTTTGTGTCTGTGTACACGATAAGTAGTCGAAATAATGCTTCGATTTTCGACTTCAGTATCTTGTTCGATTGGAAAGTGAATATCGTTGGTGCATTGGGGAGGTCAAAATTTAAATTTCCCAGTAGTTTTCAAGAGCGCCGGGAAAAACAAAAGAAAAATTAAGGAAAAACGGGAATTTTTACGCAAAATCGATTTTTCAGAAAATTGAATTTGGTTTTTGGTGTAACTTTAAAACAAATGACCGTAGGTACATGCAATTTTCACTGGTTGTTTATATTTGCATCTTCTATACACGAAAACATTTTCAAAATATTTTGATTTATTTTGAACAGTTTAGGGACATTTTCATTTTTAGTTTTTTTTTAGTTTTTTTTCTAGAAATATCAATAAAATTTTATTTGTTGGTTGCGAAAGCTTGAAAATTTAATAGAAGGCTCCTAATATATTGTTTCAAGGGCAGATGAAAAATATTAAAAATCCTTAGTCACAATTTTTTTTTATAAGCATTTAAAGTTCAAAAATTGACAAAATATGGAAAAATCACGAAAATTAGCAAATTATTTTGAGTTAAGAATTCGTAAAAATTTTTCTTTTTAAATCTAAGATTTGAAAATCTAATACAAGATTACTCATACGATTGTCTACCTTTATCAATAAAAAAATCTCTACCGGAAAGTCAAATTAAATTTTTATGAGCGTTTGAAATTCAAATTTTTACAACATTGGATATTCACTCGATTTCTCATGTGGCAATTTCCTTTTTTTGTTGTAATTAAAAAACTAATTACTGTAGATACATGAAAATTTCACTGAATGTTTATATTAGCATTTCCTATACACCATACAATTTTGAAAATATTTTGACTCTTTTTGAGCCGTTTACGGACATTTTCAGTTTTCAATTTTTTTAGTTTTTTTTTTCTATAAATATCAATAAAGTTTTATCTGTTGGGCCAAAAAGTGTAAAAATGTAATACAAGGCTCCTGATATATTCTTACAATATCAGTTGAAAAATATTAAAAATACATACGCACAATTTTTTTTTATAAGCATTTTAACATCGAATTTTGACAGAATTTTTCAAAATCTCGAAAATTATTAATCATCGTAATTAATAAATTATAAAATGTTCAGTTTTCATAGCTAAGGATTGAAAATTTAAAACAAGATTCCACGTAAGTAGTTAATTCTCTTACCGAAAAATCTAAAAAATATACAATCGCAGATTATTTTTATATTCATTTTATGTTCAAATTTGGACGAAATTACATATTAAAAAACCTAGTTATTTTGTTGTGAATATATAATATTATTCGTGGGTACCTACTTGAAACTTCTAAATTGTACTATTATATATATATATATGATAGTATCAGGGTTTGTTGTTGGTGTATAACGTGTTATAAGTACCTAATGGATATTGTGATAATGTGATATGATTAATTTGGAATTTATTATATGTAAATTTTTTTTTAATACCATAGATATGTATATAATTTGTCTTAAACCTAGACTGACATACCTTCTTCGCTCAGAATCGTTTTTCTTATACAATGATATTGTATCATTGAATTCAAATTTAAAAGCATCAATTATACATTGACCCACTTGTAACCTACTGTACAGCAGAGCGACATCCACTTACCCACCTTTTTTTTTTTAATCCGTATATTATAATGTAAATCAGTTAAAACTATATATATAATATAAAATAGTTGAAATAAATGTATAACCATTTTCTTTAATAAAGTGCTTGTTCTAGATTTCAAAAATATAATAAAAATATTTTTTCACTTTAGTATATATTATTTTATTTTATTTAGTATATTTTATGTTAAAAACTTTCACATCTCGTAATAACATACAGTATATTATTTATTTTGTATACTATTTTCAAGATTAGAATCGAGTTGAGGTATAATGTGTACTACATGTAAGTACTTAATAGATTGATCACTACTAAAATTGATTATTGTTTGATAAATCGAGCGTGGATGCATATTAAATTCGAATAGTTGAAATAATCATAATATATGTATGAATGTATGAATATATGAATGTATGTATGTATATATATATATATTTATAAAAACTATTTATATGAAAATATAAGGTAATATTATGATGCCTATAGTTAATATTTTCTTCAATACGTTATGTATTATAAATGTATATAAACCATTATAATATCTAATAGCTATTATAAGTTATACTATAGTCTTATTATTTTTCATTTTGAATTGAATATCAATATATCATTAATAATTATTTATGTTATATTCTTATAGAAGTACTAACCCCTCCCCCTAGTGAAATTAGTGTGCTTGACCGGCTATAGCGACACTTGTATGACTAGGCAAATATCGATTTGCGATATATTTTAGTGGTGGCGACATTTTAAACCATAAATTACTAAAATATTAATTAATAATTTACTATGTTAAATGATTGTTTCACATAATATTTTCAATTATTTCGGGGTACATTTAAATCATTCAAATAATAGCTACTGATGAGATCTTACACATACCCACTTTCTATACATTATAGCTATAGGTCTGAATATATCTAAAGTATTTTCATACTGTAGTATTAAGTTTTGAGAGTTTTATATACATGCTTAATGTATAGGCAGATGTTTGATATAATAAAATAATAAACACTTTGAAAATAAATTTCACTATAAATATTAAATGATAGAATGATATTTATTTGTGTGCTATGTAGTATACGATTGGAGACGTACTGTATGATTATTGATAATTGCAGTATTAGGCGGTTATCGATTTCTAATTCACGCAGGTGATAGCCCATGCACGTACGTTATAGGATGGGAGGGCCAAGGTCGGGCACGTTCGCGATAGGATGGGAGAGGGTAGGATCTGTCACGTTCGTGATAGTTTATAATATACTATAAAAACTCTTAGGACCTTTAATCTAATATCATTACACCCGATATGTCAATACAATCGATATGTCATTATAAATGGTTTCTACTGTATATATTATAATACGTATATTATGTATATCTAATAAAATATAGTACTCACTAAATTTATCGTAAAATATTAAATACGATTGCCTCTCGTAGTCCGCACTATATCGTAGTCGTCACCGTCACTGTTGTCGTCGTCGTCGTCGTTCTTTTCGTACTTGGCCACACAATAGTCGTCTAGAGTACTCGTTCTTGATTGTATGACTGCGAGTAGTAGACGAGTGATATCGAATATACTGATACAGTTCGTATTTATGCGATTGAAAATACCCTACCCTGATTATCAGTCATGCAAATATACATGACTCTGGAGGTGTATGGAGATGGTCAGCGACGCTTCGTGTCATTAAAGTAGGTACTCAACTCTTTCTCATTAAGAATGATATACTTTCCATCATTAGAACAATAAAAACATCAACAACGGTCTCGCAACCTTTATCATCATAGTGTTAATAGTGTGTTATATGGACTAAATGAATAATATTGAGCAATTAATACATATGTATGTGATATATCATAAAAATGATTTCGTTAGTGAGAATCAGTTATATAGTATCGGATCAATTGTAATAGATATGATATTAATATACTAAATAGACCCCACATTTTTAACTGTGAAAACATATTTAAATTCGAAAATTTGTTTATAAAATGGTAATTCAGTTATTGTATATTCCTCAGTATATTTCTACGTAATATAACACTTAAAGTTTAATATTTTTACTAACAGAATAGTTAATAAATATCACGTTAAGATATGAGATTTCATTTGAGGAGCTGCATATAATTTTATCCAACAGACATATCCGTATATCGAATCAATACAGACTGGGCGAAAATAGTATGTAATTTTTTAATTTAATTTTATTTCATGATAGGAAATAATTCTATTCCTGTAATTAATGGTTTATAACTACTTATATAGTTATAGAAGAATTGACGGGTTCCAGTGTGCCACCACTCCGGACATTTCAACGTGTAGGAAAATCATGAATTCGTCGTCAGCTGGTCGGGAGATAAGTAACTCCATAATATATGATCTAAAAATCTATAAACGTGTTATGGTAAGCTGTTTAATGTCTAAGAGGAGGGAACTATATCATTATAATAATTTCCCCTTAAACTATATCTGGAGTGGTATTTCGACGAATCGACGTGTGTATGAAAAAATGCATACACGTACTCATACCACTCCTGATAAGAGGTGGATTAATATCTATCGCCAAGAAATTAATAAAGAAATAAATTTAAAGGTGGACCCTACCTCTTCGATATTAGTAGATTATCATTTTATTCGCGATAATCGGAGATTACTCGATGTTCAACTGGCTGTCACGCTAGATCGTAGACATGTGATGAATGTATATGAGTATAACAATATGAAAGACATGTATTAAATGTATAATTCATTTTCAGGACATCTATCATGGAAGGATTTAAGAAGCAACTGATCGCACAATCGAGCGTACGTTTCATGTATGTGGGCGATTTGACCGTTGGCCGGGCATACCCAATAACGAAGATGTGTAATCAAGAAACGCAGTACGGGAGGACTGCGAAGTTCACCCTCGACGACGGTCAGGATGGTATCATTGAAGTCTTCCTCCCACGATCAATAGTCGTCAGCGACGAACAAGATGCATTGTATAATATAGATGGGAATCAGACGTTAAGTCTGGTGTTCAACGGACGACGGGCTAGATCGTTTAACTTAACCTTTAAGTTATATGTATAATGTATATATATATAAAAAACAATTTATGTCTAAGTGTATTGAAGTATATCATTATAATAATTACCCCTTATACTATATCAGGAGTGGTATGTCAACGAATCGAAGTGTGTATGAAAAAATGCACATACATACTCATAACACTCCTGATAAAAGTAGGATTTATCGCGATATCTATCGCGAAGAAATTAATAATTAAATAAATTTAAAGTTAGACCATACCTCTTCGATATTAACTGATTATCAATTTATTCACGATACTCGGAGATTACTAGATGTTAAACGGGCTATCACGTTAGCCGATGCACTTGTATATTCAAATAAGCGGTGGGGTTATTCATGTAATAATTGCTCCTTCACCCACCCACGCTATCCATTTGAATATATTAAATTTTTAGAAATATACCCATTAATTAACTATGCTACATATGAGTTTATAATAAATAATTGCTTCAAAATATAATCTATTATTAATTAATTAATTAATTCATATATTTTTATGTTTAGTTTATATACGATTTATGATATGTATCGTTTAATCGATTAAATTGTTTTAATTATATTTATATATTATATCCCATGTATATAGTAAAAATATTTTATTTGAAATACTCCTTAGTATTTACACGATATATCGGTAATAAATGTCCAATATTGTTAAGTTAATATCATTTTATCAAATAAAAATATAATATTGTGTATTATTACTTTAGTATGAATATTATTCCTAAGTTTTAAGTGTAATATTTAGTATTTTCTATGACTTCTAATTGAAAATATTATAATAGTGAGTAGGTATCTACAATTATCGGATGGTGTTATTAATTTAATATTAATATTATAAATATGATATATGTTTTAAAATAATTTGTTTTACCCTTTAGCGTAACATAGTATAAAATTTGAAGATTTAGCATTTAAATGATTTTCAGATGTATTTGAATATATAATAATCTCTAAGGGGGTATACTTATGTTACATTGTATATTGATTACATACATAGAAAAGCTGAAAGCGGTATAGATTGTATAGGTATTTATTATTTTCATATTTAGTAAGTATATCAATTTAGGATTTTACTATTGTATGTAATATATATAATTTAAAAAAGAACTATTATATAATAAAATAAACATTTTTATGATTTATAAACCATACAATCGATAACAAATACTATACAAGTGCTGTGTGAACAACTACGAAAAGAACGACGCGGACAGGCAATCGTGGTTAATATTTTATTGGATATGTATATACGTATTATAATAATAATAATATATATATATAAGTGATGGAAATATATTAATATGGATGACTCTTAATCATATTCATAAGTCACATTTATTAACTATGTAATTGATCAACAGAATAATATGGAAGTCTTAAAGAAGAGTCTATCGGTGCAGTCCAGCACACGCTTCATCTCTGTAGGAAATCTAACTATAGATCAGTTATACCCTATCATAAGGATGGAGAATCGTGATACACAGTATGGTATCACCGTACACTGTAGCTAGAGGATGGTGAAGACGGTAGGTTATTGGAAGTGTATCTACCGAGGTCTATAAAGCTCAGTAACGAAGATGTCTTACGATTCAACCAGGGTGGAGATGAGATGTTGAGCCTTATTTTCAAAGGACGACGTGGACGGTCCTTCAATATTGGGTTTCAATAACTTATATAGAAAAAACATGTATAAATAATTAATTTTCTATCATAATAAATCATTTATATTTAATTTAATCGAGAATGTGTTTTATCTTACAACCTTAACGTTATACACAAACCCTCTATACAATATAATATAAATAGTATAAATAAATTATGATAAATATATATATATATAGGTACTTAAGTAGCATTAAGAAAAGCATGTTTTTAAAAAAAAAAAATTAGAAACAAAGGATTTTTTGATTTTTTTTTTTTTTTTTTTTTGACAACTGGATCATGTATTGTCACCGACCTTAGACCTCCATACAAAATTTTAGCCTCCTAGGTCATGTAGAAGTGACTTCAATTGAACTCGCAAGATTTGATGACAACAGAAATGAATGAATGAAACATTGCGAGTTAAAGAAAAGCATGTAAAAAAGGCACACTTGTCGTATGCTATCTACCAACAAATTGACGGTGTCGTATGCTATCTACCGTATCTACGTTATCTACCGTATTTCGTATTGACGGTATCGTATCGATATTATATTTCTATATATTATATATATTTATAATTCCTTTAAGAATTTCAGAGTTATTTTGTATTTTAGAATTTAGTATATGTTCTTTGATCGCCGAGATCAAACGTCGTAGTTGTGTGTTTTTTATTAACTGTAAATTTACGGTTTTATAAAATGAATACTTTGGGTGAATTATATAGAAAATTTATTTTTAATGATGAAACTTGTATACAATTTTTAAAAGATCGTGATTTATTACCTAATACAAAACTGTGCACAAAATGAAATTCTATTAATTTTTCTTTAATGTTGGAAATTGGTTGACAAGTATCGAGGGGTATTTTTGAGGAGGGGGATTTTAAATACTTAAATACAATCGGTTTCGAAGCATTTGATATCACTCGTTAGCTGCTACTCACTTCATCAATAGTTCAAGGAATATAACAAGATGACTCAGTGATTATCGAATACCTACCGAATTATTGATTATACTGAATTTCAAGTGAGTAATATATTTTTATTTCCAAACCTAAGTATAATATATCATATCATAATCTTATTATCATAACTCATTGACGGTGATAGAGGTTATTGTCTATGAATGACGTTTTTAAATAATTTTAAAGTTTCTTTACTCGTAACTTTAAGTTAGATAACCCTTTAGGCTTTAAGATTCAGCGTTAACGAGTTTCGTAATGAAACTTACGATATACATATGAATTAATGTTTATATATGATGTATATATATATATATATGAATTAAATACTAAATATAATATTATTTTTACATTTATTTAGCATTTAACATGGACAACTTAAAGCAGAGTCTAATCACACAGTCCAACGTCCGATACATCTCGGTGGGGGAGCTGATCGAGGGGAAACCTTATAGTATCATGAGGAAGTCAAACCAGAAGACGCAATACGGTAGGACCATCAAGAGTTCCTTAGATGATGATGAAGGAGGGGTGATAGAAGTGTTTCTTCCCCGATCATTATCCCTCACCGATGAACAGGAGGCATTGTACAATTCTTCCGGAGAGTAGACCTTAAAACTAATATTCAAAGGACGACGTGGGAGGTCATTCAATGTCACATTCCAATGATTTTACATGAGAATATATATATACAAATACACAATATTTTATTTTATTAGTTATTCATTATAAATCACCGAGTCATATATAATTTATTCCATATATAATTTATAATTTATAAATGTTTTCTTGTTACTATTATTTTAAACATCCTGTGTATAATATGTAAAGACTCAATAACAAACATTTACACTAGTGAGTGAATATGTAAATGATTTAACGAAAATTATATGTATGCAATGACATAAGTGATAGGTGTTTCATAACATTATATATTAACGAAGTCGTCTGGTTAAGTCGAGCTATGACGAGTAGTGTCAGGCTGTTCTGAGCAGAGACATATCGAACCCCCATCGAACTGTGTCAGGGTATACTTAAGTGAATATACCCTTGCCGAGTCTCTTTGAAATCATATCTATTTATTAAATCGAACTGTGATAGTTTATTGGTATATTGGTTTAATATTATGTTGTATACGATAAGTATGGATTTTCTCTAATTAAATTATAACTATTTATATTATATCATGTATGTACCATAATATATTATCATTAAATATTCCCACGATGACCGTTGATTTCACTAGCTATGCATAACATACCTACAAACGCTCTAATTACTATCCAGAGCCGTGGTAAAGAGTTATTATTAACATATAAAGGAGGTATAGAATAAAAATAATAATTTAGGGGATATATTTAAGGAATTGAATACATAGGGCGGTCGTTACACGATGTGTAGTTGAAAATAATAATATTCATCATCATTTCGATAATATCCATATACTTTGACTTAATTGAGTCATTATAATGAAGGCGTATTATATCATAATGTAAGTCATACATAAACTCTATGCAATTATCCAGTACAGTGAACCTGATATAAATCGGTTTGGTGGAATGTATCTCACTCTTTTACATGCTTACGGCTCCGAGAATACAGTGAACGTCTAAAATTGCTGATGACATATTCTAGATGAATTATTTTAAAGAATTTTGAAAATCTAAGACCTGTGTAGTGCAATTGATTAACGCGGTTGCTGTCAAAGTTCTCATCCGTGGGCCGTAGAGGAACAGCATTCAATATCACATTCGAATGAAATATTTAATTTATTCTATATAAAATAACTGGATATGCTCAATAAACAATAATAATGAGTAATGACATAATTCAATTGGAGAATGTTTTCTATTTATTATATCAATCTGAGTGTACCCCATTGTCTTCTTATGAATATATAAATATATCAAAATAGTAACGTTAGGTATTCTAGTAATTTTATTGTAGGAATGATAAAAGGTAATATAAAAACAATATATATATATTATATCCTAAGATATAGTGTTTTTTAGTTATTGACATACGATCTATATTATGCTGAATGTGATAGTATTCAATATAGTTATTAAATGAAACGGTTGAGTGTAATGAGGATAAAACAAAGATCAACTCAGCCTTCTATAGCTCAACACTGTTCGAGCTGAGAGCGAGTGCGCCAACCCGTCCCGTTACAATATAAGAAATCTTAAGGTATATCACATTGACTGTGTTACGGGACGGGTTGGCGCACTCGCTCTCAGCTCGAACAGTGTCGAGCTATAGTATACTTGGAGGTATGATATACTGGTATAATAGTTTGAAGTATAATTTTCAAGTTGTGGATAATGTAGGAATATTAGCATATTAATTATTTATAATTTATTTATAGTATATTATTTATGTAGCTATCAATGTATGTATTCTTGGAGGTATGGTATACTAGTATAGTAGTTTGATGTATAATTTTCATGGAGTAGGTAATAGAGATATATTATAGTATATTATTTATTGAGAAACAGAATAATTTAAATATTTAACGATTAATTTATTGTAACGAAAGTAATTGCCCATTTCAATAACATATCATTGGAAAATCTCACAAACTAAAATAAATATATAACTTGAAATTGTGAGTAAAGATTGTACTAATGTATAAGGTACCTTCTAATTTGTTCATAAATCATAATTTTCGGAACTTTTATTTAGGTATTACCCTTTTTTTGTGGTTGTTAGCTATTATATATTACTGATTATTCATCAAACAAGCTTAGAGGAAGCCATTCCGTGCCAGAGGCTATAACATTCAAACTTGACAATTTTGAACTTGGGGACGCAATGTCTCGCTATTGGTCCAAAAACATAATAGATAGTCAGTCATAACAATTTTTAACTTACGGAACGCAATGTCACTCCAGAGGTAAATTATTAATTCATTCAATCTGAATAACAATAGGTCTCAAAATTAGGTAGGTAGTAAATTTATATACTATTTATCTCAAAAATGTATATAATATTATATTATACTTTATTTTTATTAAATTTATCACACAAGCTTAAAAAATTATATTTTGATTCAACTTTATTAATACCTAGCTGATAAGTTATGATAGATGAATTCACAAATAGGTAGTTGGTATAGGTACATAATTACTTACAGTTAAAGAGATGAAACGAATCATGTTTAATTCATTGATATGTTTAAGAAATTGAAAGGGACAATAATACTCTCGTACATGTGATTTTACCTAAGTTATTTTAATAAATTTATGAAAAAAAAATGTAAGTATTTATTTCTTTAATATATTCTGTATTTTTTTATGATAATATATCAAATTACGAATGTTAATTTATATTATTCAAATGTTAATTTAACACTGACAATTTTAAGATTTTAAAGAAAATTAAAACTAAATGATATGAATATTTCCTGTTCAAGATTATTTTAAATACAAATTATGTTTAATTAATATATATACTAATTATTGTGACGAACTAAGAGTTACGAGTTACGACTTACAGTGATGAATATTTGGTGATATTTTTTCAGGATAAAAAGGTGACATGAAAGATAATAGAATCATAAAAATAAAATTATTGATAACTCAGAATCCGATTTGTATCTATTTATTTATTTATTTATTTATTTTTTGACATTCATTAAATATCCTACATTACTACTCATAATGTAATATAATTATATTTATAATTGTTTAATTAATAAAAACAAAAATATATTAAACAGTAGTTAATATCAGGATGTTAATCAAAGAATACAATCACTGCCAGAAAACAATGAGAAAAAATTGAAAAAACCAAAAATCAATTAAAAATATTAAATAAAACATAATTGTTACAAAAAAAATACCAATTCTTGACAAATGAGTTAAGGATAACTATAGCCGATACCAGAACGGTCAGCATTCAAAAAACAAAAACTAATGATGAATTCATAAATAGAAGATTTTCAATTAACAATCACATACTAAAAAATTATAAAAAAAACATAACCATAGCTAATACAAAATTGTTAATAGACAGATTATATTATACTAACCCAATTAAAGAATTATTAATAAAAAAATCAACATACATCATTTAAATTTTTACTGTTTTATGTTGATGTGAATATTAAAATATTTTTATGATTCATATCAACTACGATAACCAGGTAAGAAATTATATTAATATTTCTTCACACAACTTCAACAACGGACTAAAATTACCACTAGCAAAAAGTTGATGAGACAAGTAGACTCAGGTGAAGAATTTTTTTTTAAAATAAAAGTTGTAACACATCTGACTTAAAACTCGGTTAGCCAGAGCCTTTCAAAATAAGAAGGGACTACCCAGGCTAGGGTGCTGCCACAGCAGACGCGACTACGAGCGCAAGCATTTAGAAAGTGAGGCGCTACGTAAATATTGACATTTTAAATTTTTAGATTAACAATAAATTCGTCGAAACGTTTATTTGATAAAAACCGAGTGTTTAACCATAATGATTAATGACCATGACTGTCCAATATATAAAATTATATTGTATATAAATACATATATTTTTCATTACTTACTTTTATGTTAACAGTTTTCCTTTTTTTTAATAAAAATATTATTTAAAGCTTGAATTTCTTGTCATGCAATTAAAAATATTTTAATATTAATATTTTAGATATTAATAATATCAAATCGTTCTTTTTGGAGTGTACATCCCCATACATTGATGGGAGGGGAGGGGGTGGGGTTAAGACCGGGCACGTACCTGATAGGGTGAGCCCCAACTGGATTACCTGGATTTTTGGGGGGCACAGAACCTATACCAAAACACTCTACTGGTTATTATGACTAATTTTGATTAGTCCCTTGAGGCTTGAATATCATCATAAACGGTTTCTGTACCGTATATATATATATATATATAAATATATAGGTTATAGGGATATTTGAATATGTATGACTCTTAATCATATTCATAAATCGTGGTATATTAACTATGTCATCAATTTACAGGGTAATATGGACGCTTTAAGGAAGAGCCTAACGATGCAGTAGTAACCATGTCAGTAGGAGATCTAAGTATAGGTCAGCTATACCCAATAATCAGGATGGACAATCGGGAAACACAATATGGTTTGGCCGTTCACTGCGTGTTAGAGGGCGGTGATGACGGAGGATTTATGGAAGTTTGTCTTCCGAGATCTATAAAGATCAGTGATGAAGACATCCTACAATTCAACCAGGAAGGTGATAAGGTGTTAAACCTCATTTTTAAAGAACGGCGTGAACGGTCGTTTAATATCGGATTGCAATAATGTATAATATAAAATCTAAATAAAGATGTATAAATAATTGTTGTTTTATCATAATAAATCGATCATATTTAATTTGATTGAAAATATGTTCTATCTCTTATGTCCTACCTCTTCGATATTAGTAGATATTAGTAGATATCATTATCATCAGTGGCAATCAGTTATTATGATTAACTTTAACTAGTCCCTTGAATTTCATTATAAACGGTTTCTATTATATACATATATAGGAATATATTAATATATATATCAATATATGACTCTTAATCATATTCATAAATCATATATTAACTATGTCATAAATTTACAGGAAAAAATGGATGCTTTAAAGAATAGCCTGACAAAGCAGTCTAATACAAGATTCATGTCGGTAGGAGATCTGAGTATAGGACAGCTATACCGGATAATAAGGATGGAGAATCGGGAGACACAGTACGGTCTCACCGTACACTGTGTGTTAGATGGTGGTGATGACGGAGGGATAATGGAAGTTTATCTACCCAGATCAATTAAGATCAGAGATGAAGACATTCTTCAATTCAACCAGGGTAGAGATGATAAGGTGTTGCACCTAATTTTCAAAGGATGGCGTGGACGGTCGTTTAATATCGGATTGCAATAATGTATAATATAAAATCTAAATAAAGATGTATAAATAATTGTTGTTTTATCATAATAAATCGATCATATTTAATATGATTGAAAATATGTTCTATCTCTTATGTCCTACCTCTTCGATATTAGTAGATTATCATTTTATTCGCGATAATCGGAGATTACTCGATGTTCAACTGGCTGTCAAGCTAGATCGTAGACATGTGATGAATGTATATGAGTATAACAATATGAAAGACATGTATTAAATGTATAATTCATTTTCAGGACATCTATCATGGAAGGATTTAAGAAGCAACTGATCGCACAATCGAACGTACGTTTCATGTCGGTGGGCGATTTGACCGTTGGCCGGGCATACCCAATAACGAAGATGTGTAATCAAGAAACGCAGTACGGGAGGACTGCGAAGTGCACCCTCGACGACGGTCAGGATGGTATCATTGAAGTCTTCCTCCCACGATCAATAGTCGTCAGCGACGAACAAGATGCATTGTATAATATAGATGGGAATCAGACGTTAAGTCTGGTGTTCAACGGACGACGGGCTAGATCGTTTAACTTAACCTTTAAGTTATATGTATAATGTATATAATATATATAAAAAACAATTTATGTCTAAGTGTATTGAAGTATATCATTATAATAATTACCCCTTATACTATATCAGGAGTGGTATATCTATCGCGAAGAAATTAATAAGGAAATAAATTTAAAGTTAGACCATACCTCTTCGATATTAACTGATTATCAATTTATTCGCGATACTCGGAGATTACTAGATGTTAAACGGGCTATCACGTTAGCTGATGCACTTGTATATTCAAATAAGCGGTGGAGTTATTCATGTAATAATTGCTCCTTCACCCACCCACGCTATCCATTTGAATATATTAAATTTTTAGAAATATACCCATTAATTAACTATGCTACATATGAGTTTATAATAAATAATTGCTTCAAAATATAATCTATTATTAATTAATTAATTAATTCATATATTTTTATGTTTAGTTTATATACGATTTATGATATGTATCGTTTAATCGATTAAATTGTTTTAATTATATTTATATATTATATCCCATGTATATAGTAAAAATATTTTATTTGAAATACTCCTTAGTATTTACACGATATATCGGTAATAAATGTCCAATATTGTTAAGTTAATATCAGAACTCATACGACTTCAATATCTGGAATGGTGTATTTTTGAGACAATTGTAAGAAAATTAACTATTATACAACCAATCATATTAAATCAATTTGATATATTTACCGAATATCTCGATAGAGAATTTTGCAAAATGGAATCACCAGCAACAACGAGTGAAGAATGAGTATATTTATTAAAAATATCCGTGATGATCATATTATCACAAATAGTCCTAAACAAAAATGCGATGTATATCTGTAGATGCGTGTACATACATAGACAGTTTATTAATATTTAGTTAGAAGATAATTTACAATATGTATAAAGATGAGTGATGAACTATACATTTTTCCAATGATATCCTCTATACTATTTTAATAATCAATCTATAATAAAAAATATCATAATCTCTTAACAACAACAACAAATTAAAATACCTATTAGTGAATAACACACAATGAAATCAGAACCTTCCCACGAAATGTTATCATACCTGTTTATGAATAACACATTAATAACCAATATAATATACTAAAAAATAACTTAATCGCTTACACGTTAGACTCTTAGATAGCTTGATATTGTATCTCCTACCAATTAATGGACCCATCCACACCCATCTTGCCTCTGTAAGAGCTGACATTCATTCAGTCTGTTCTCAGTCTTACACAATTGTAATTCTCCTCTACTTTTCTATCAGTCTTATAATTTGTTCTGAGCTTATAATTTTTTTCAAGTCATAATATATTATTGTACAGTGTTTATTATTTTTCTAAGTCTTTGTAAATTTAAAGTGTTCTAAATTTTTCTAAGTCTTTATAAATTTGAAGTGTTCATTATTTTTAAAAACATTTTTAAAAACATGGCTGGTTCAATCGCTGACAACGCTACCTTATACAATGAGAAGAAGACGGCTTTCACTTATGTACCACCATCACCTCCGGCTGAACTCATCGAGTCTACATCCTACACGTTAGACTTTACAGCTAGAAAATGTATAATTGTCGGTATCGATCCAACAGAACAACTTCAAACAGTTGTTATTTTATTAACATCGTCACGTTATGTGAAAATTAGTATAGATTTTCTAAGACGGATATTCTCGCTTATGGGTAACGTACTATCTTTTATATTAGACACGCCACAAAACTACAAGCGAACCATATTTCTCGAAACTGATTCTTATAAAATATCCGAGTATGGTGGTATAGCGGTTCAAACGTTCTAGTAATTGAATCTAAGACTGAAGATGGATGTAGAGTTTTATTAAATCATATAGATTTAATAAAACTCCAAGAATTAGAATGGTGTATTACTACTAGTATTAATGAAAAAAGAAGAAAAATAAAACCCGTAATTATTAAGCAAATTAGTGATTATTGCAAGTATTTGAGGGAAAAATGCTTGCAATCGGATTCACCGCCCAACAATTTGAAGGAAATGGAAATTTTCATTCGGAACGTTGAAGTCAGGCAGAGTAAAAAGACACCTCGGTCAAATTAAAATGTTTGCGACTACACAATTGGCCGAACTTTGTATGGCTCATCGGAACGTACAACACTCAGAAGTGGTAATTTAAAAATATAATATTATTACGTATATTAAATATTAAATTACATTTATTTTTATTTTATCAGTATGATAAGAATTTAAAAACGCGGTCATATTTCTCACCTAACTCTTCGATTGTAGAGGAAGAAATATCTAAATTGTATCAAGAAATCAATGCATGTGATGAAGTTAATCCGTTGGAGAATGATTTAGTTGAGGTAATTCATAAATATAATATTATGTACAAACATATATTTAAACAAGTTTTTTTTATTTTACTTGCAGGACGGGTATTCACCGATATCACTAAACTATTCTCCAGGTAACAATATATCAAGTATACAGGAAGTTGTCACTACATCTATTCCAGCTAAAGTAATTTATAAAATATTTACGTTATATACTCTTACATATCATATAATATAAATTATTAACTTTGTTTAGTCTATCGATGAGAACGATGGATATGATTCTGACAATTTTGCGCAGTACCCTCCATTTTATTCAAAACCCAGATATATACCTACGACAGCGAGCTTAGCAGTTGATGAGAACGATGGTCCAACGTCGTTTTCGATTCAATCACCTCCACCCTCACCATCTTTTTTGACAAGCCCCTCAGCTGATATATCAAATAACGGAACGCTAAACACCTCACAACCATGACAAGAGTAAAACAAAGGTCTTTAAATATTTATAGAAATTAAAAAAAAAGTATGTGAAATAAATAAACATGATATATAAATTTGTATTTCATTTATTAGTATTAAGGTTTACAAGGTTCTTACTTCACCATTAAATGGATTATAAGAAATAATTTGGTCATGTATTATTAGACAATATGATATTTTTATTTTACCGTGTGTATATACACACAGGCATATCACATATTCACATCTACCGTATATCATTGTATAACTTATAATATCGGAAAAAAGATATACTTTTTGCGGTTTATTACCAAATCTCGAAATACACATTAATCAACGTTACATCTGTAGTACCTACTATCGTAACATCTTTATCAATTAAACATTTATAAATGTTCCATACAAGGTCATACTACAATGAGCATATTATACTCGTATGTGGAAACATACATACATTTTTGTATCTTTATAATATACACAATACTATTAGGCTAACCTATCTTGAATAATATTACAGATACTTATATTTTTAATCAATTATACATAGGTGCATTGAAATATTGTATGAGATTAGACTGAAATCATAGCTTATAATATACATATACATGGATTATAGGTATGTATGAGAAAAAATAAATATCTTTAACTGTTATTATTGTACTGTTATTGGTCAAATGCAGTGGGGATTATTGATATACATACATATTACATATATATAGTAAAGTAAAAACTATTATCGAGTCATCACCTAGTTACATGTTATATGAACATATGAAACATAGTATGATATGCAAATACACATTAAATCATATACATATTCAAAATTTCAAACACCTAAACATATTATATATTTTATATACATATATAAACATTCATATAGACACATCAACAATAGTCACCTACATATATGCATATACACATACTTGTATAATATATCCTTACATATTCTTATATATTTAAATAGTATTCATACATGCATACATACAATTACATATATATTTACTTAAGCATCATTGATGCATACATATAGACTCGATCGATTATTTCAAATAATGATTTACATAAAATATTTTCGATATATAATTTATTTAATACCTAAATTCTTAAACATATATTAATTATTATATATTTACATTAGATACATAAAATATATCACAACATTCACAACGTCGCCGTGCATAATGATACAGCAATTAAATGCAATATAGTACCTATACATATATAATTTACTAATTTTTTCATTAAATACGTAGGTAGAATTTATGCTGAAACCTAAAAATATACTCATCAATGTGAATATACGTTAAAATGTATTAGTTTTGATAAAAACATAGCTGTCTGTGTGACTATTCGTAATTTCATTAATTTTTCTAATATCAAGCTATTCAAACTACCTATGTAGTAGCATGTATACTTTTTAATATTTTCGATAATAAGCTATAGCTAGATCATGGGGATATAATAGATTTTGAGGTATAATGTATAGTATGTAGTTGACTATTATAAGCTATAATGTTATACCTATCACGCTTTCATATTTCATATCGATAGAAGGTAATGAGATACAGTTAATAATTACTTATTTATACTCTATATAAATTATTAAGAGTTATTAGCTTTCTAAAATGAGTTAATGTATTATTTCAAAAACGTTAGTATTCTATAATTATTAATTTAATATGAATATTCTACATAATACGATATTAAATGTTTTACAATAGTTTTTAACTCTATAACATAATAAGGTATGAAATTATTTAGTTACGAAGCAGAGGGAGCTTTATGATTATTGTAATTTCCCTTTAAATTATATCAGGAGTGGTATGTCAAAGAATCGAAATGTTGATGCGAGAATGCGCACGTGTGCTCGTACCGCTACTGATATGCCATGGACATGGTTAAATATTATGTATCTCGATGAGATTAATAAGGAAATAAATTTAGTGCTAGACCCAACCTCATCGAAATTAATAGGTTATTATTTTATTCGTGATACTCAAAGACTGTTAGATATTCAGGTGGCTAACGGGTTAGCAGATTCACTCTTATTCCCTAATAAGTGCTGTGGTTATATGTGTTATAAATGTTCCTTTACCCATCCTCGATATCGATTTGAATACAAAAAAATGTTAGAAATATATCCTTTAATTAATCATGATATATATATGTTTATAATAAATAATTGCCTCTAAAAACGATTGTTAATTAATTTGTTAGTAATTAACTTAATATAGTCTTAATTTAAAATTTATATACCTACAATTTCTATAAATCATAATAAATCTACTAACAATAAATTACCTACTTTAAAAATAAGACATTTTACACTATACTTGTAAGCGTATAGACGATTTATAATTTTCATAAACGATAACTATTCACGATTATATTAATTTTTTTGTCTAATACCATACGTTATTCAAATTAAATGTTTAAGTTTAGTGTTAAAAGTATATATTAAAATGTAAATCAATTAGAACTATATATAATGTAAAATAGTTGAAATAAATGTTTAAACATTTCTTTAATAAAGTACTCGTTGTAGACTTTGAGATTACAATAAAATATTTTTTTCACTTTAGTATATATTTTTATCTACCTACTCTATATTATTACTTTAGTATGAATATTCTACCTAAGTTCTTAGTGTAATATTTAATAGTTGCTATGCCTTCTAATTGAATATACTTTAATAGGATTTATGGGATTTGAGGGGGGTACAGAACATACTAAAACACTCTACTAAAATAGGTGTTAAAGACTCGACATTTATAATGAATTGAAAAAACACGTGCATACCAACGAAGATGTGTTGGAATCTCTTTTACCGACCGAGTTCTTCGTTTAGTTTTACCCAATATTATAATATTAGAATTTTTTTTTAATCGTATTCCACATATTTTTATAACCACAACATTGAAGGTCGGGAAGAGGGGGGTATTTTATGTGTTCGGAGGTGAGAGCTCGTGGGACTTTCAGTGGAAAGAATCCGTTCGTCAATAAAGCCAGGAATCTAGTTAAGAAAATGGATTTCCAAATCCAAATATCAACCAACGCAATGTTGATTCCAAAAAAAAAAAAACGAAATTTTCGTGGAGATTGTTAACGGGCCACAGTTAACCATAACTCAGATTCTTAACGAATACCCTACATGCTTATGTAAACATCTAAAGTAGTAGGTTTCATTGTGTATGTATCTGCACCAAATTGCAACACACTATAACTTACACTGATCCTATAACAATCAAACTGGACAATTTTGAACTTGGGAAACTAATTTATCGATAGTGGTTCAAGAATATAAAAAATTGTTTTTCTGTACTAAAAAATGAATTTAGGAATGTACATTATTAAGTTTTTGACAAGATTGACAGAATACAAAAATATAAAAACTATAAAATTAAATATTTTATAGTAGATCGTAGTAGATGCATAGAAATATTTTATTTTAAATGAATAAATTAAGTACAATTATATCAATTTCATGTCACACTTTTAATAGATATTAAGATACATAACAATGTAGGTAAATTTACTACTGAGCAACCTTATTATTAGCATAAAACATAGTATTTTCATTAATACAACATTTAATAACTCGTGAATATTTTTGAATTTGAATTTTAATTCTGAGATATTAATTGAATTGAATTAAAAATTAGGTACTTATAATGCTTATTTTTTTATAATTTCAATATCCAAAATTGAATGATAGTAATAAGTAGAGCAATAAATATTTGTATACACAAATTAAAAGAGTTTGTAAATGACCTAGATGACTCTATTCATGATTTATTGCTTCACCTTACAGGAAAAAGTAAAACCAACCAGAACCTTATTAATACCTAAAATTAAGTTTAAACAATAATTAAATGTAAAAAATGTTTGTACAATAATATTATAACGTGTAGCTAATGTCAAGACATTTGAATCGCATCTAAATAATATTAAGAAACAGAATATTTTAAATAATTAACGATTAATTTGTTGTAACGAAAGTAATTGCCCATTTCAATAACATATCATT